CGAGGCAGAATTCCTAGAGCCTTCATTAAACTGGGATACACGTGCAGGGCCATTAAAGCACGGGCTATTAGAATACACCTTAAGAAAAGGTTGTGTGCGGGTTTGATGTCTGAGATAGAGTTCAAGACATTTGTGTCACTCTTGTTGAATTGGAATCCTACTTGCTATGCAAAGGTTCAAGTCGTAGACACCTTTGTTTATGCACAATCTTAGAAACGTTTGACGTTACTTCTAAAATCAATTTTTTAAATTCAAGTGGGGGATTGTTGGAACATGTCCATGTTCCAATATATTGAATTTAAAAATATCTCAAGTCCCACATTGTTAGAATATTTTTTTGGTTGAAAAAACCATTTAGTCTCACATTGCTCATGTGAGAAATATTAACTATCCTACTTCACTATATAAGGAGTGCATATGTTTCATTCCAAATCACACCAAAAACTATTCTATTAGTTTTTCCTTCCTCACTCTCATAACTCTGCGTCTCTCGAATTGTCGAAGCACCATCTTCTTCCCCTTTCTTCCTACTCGTTGAATTTTCCGAGTATTTTCTTGAATTCTCTTTAGAAAATTATGTTAATTTCTCCTCATTTGAGTTGGGAAATTTTCAAGTTTAATATTTTGGGTTCTCTTTGGAGAATTATTTGAATTTCTCTTTGTTAGAAAAATTATTATGAGTGATCAAATGACCATTATTAATTTCTCTTTGGAGAATTATTTGAGTTTCTTTTTGTTTGAGAAATTATTATGACTGGTCTTTGTATCAGATACTACGAGTGGTGTTGATACCATATTTGAATGGTCTTGTACCATAAGAGGGTGTATTTCTAGACCGATTATCTATCATGCAAGTAGTAATCGTACAGTATAGAACTGAGTTGTTTTATCCTGGAAGCGGCGCGGTAGTTCGACTGCTTTGCATAATTTTTGAGCAGTGCCGCGAAACGTCTTAAAGAGAGCGACCTAGTCCGCGACTCAACCTGGTAATTTCTTCGGTGACAAATATTTTAAAATTCGAAACCAACAATTTCAATCTTTCTTCCTCAAGCATGGTGAAACCGTCAACCAAGAATTGTTGAAATAATCTTCTAGATGATAAAATAGTTTTACCTTCGGCACATCTGGTTTGGATTCTAAATGCCAATCACTCTCGAATAGTAAGTCTGTTTCTTGGGTTATCATCAAAGATATCGAGATCTCGGTGAGCCACATTTAGTCTATAACCATCTTATCCATATGGAAATATCAATGGATATTGGTAAGTCAAATAGCTAGCATGAAATTCATCAATACGTTTCAGTGATCCTCATTGTCTTTGCATGATAACATCTCTTTCTTCAGCCGTGTCAACATCACCAAAAATTAAAGCAGCCACCTCAGAAATAGTAGCACTAGTGCAGAAATGACTTTTTACATCGGGTAAAATTGACTTTTTACATCGGTTTTGGATCCGATGTAAAGTCAGGTGATATAGTAAATCAGGGACTTTTTACATCGGTTCTGGGACCGATGTAAAAAGTCCCTTTTTTACATCGGTTATAATATCAGAACCGATGTAATAACCTGTTATTATGCACATTTTTTAAAAAATTGATCCAGTTTTTTACATTGGTTGGAAGTAATACCCGATGTAAAAAGTACCCTTTTTACATCGGTTATAATATATGAACCGATGTAAAAAACAATTATTATGCACATTTTTTTAAAAAATTGATCCAGTTTTTTACATCGGTTGGAAGTAATACCCGATGTAAAAAGTCCCCAGTGACGCGACTTTTTACATCGGGTATTACTTCCAACCGATGTAAAAAGTCCCTTATTGAAAGTTTTTACATCAGTTTTACTAATAACCGATGTAAAATGTATGAAATTTTTTTGGAATAGATTATTTATTTTCTGGGTTTCCCTATACAAATATAATTTGTACCCATTTTTTCATATTTTTCCAATATCAAACAGACTATATTTATGTCGCTATATAGATTTCATAGCTTTCCAACATCACATTTAGGACGATGTTTTCATATTTTTCACAACAAACTTACAAATTGAACAAACTTACAATTACAAACTTGTATTGCAAACTTGTATTGTATTACAACATACAAACTTACAATTACAAATTCTTAACAAAATATAAAACAATATTCAACTATTTATAAGTCTTTTTCAAAACTTACAATTACATAATATTCACAAAATATACATATACTAAAATATTCAACTATTTCTAAGTTTCCAAACTTGAATTACCAATATAAAATCTTCGGTAGACAACACCAAAATCATATTGCCTGACAATAAATAATAACAATTAACATCAGCAAAAAAATCAAGAAACTCAACACATGAGCAAAAACCACATGTATATTGTGCAAAAACCACAACTTATACAATTCTATAAAACTCACCAGCTAAACTTAAGTTCCATGTAAGTCAAAGAAACATTTTGCCCAACGAAGTCGCAAATCATACAAATCATCTGGTGTTAATTCTGTTGGGTCATCAAATACCTATAATACATAAATATAACAATATAGAGTTTTTTTTAAAAATTCATATTAAGTCGAAAAACAAAAAGTAAAGAACAAAGTAAAGTTATTTTTAGTACCTGCATCCAATTCTCGGTTATATTAGCAGAGACAATATCCAACATATTTTTCATCACATAGTATCCACAATCATTAGAGTTATGTTGTTGCCTTGTCTACAATTGAATGACATAATTAGTGAATATTTATCGTATATATTTAACTATAGAATTATAATTTACATCACTTACATTGGGATGAAGCCATGTAGCCTTTTTTCTATTTCCATTTGCCATTTGATGAATCCCAAAAGAACTAATACAGAAAGATATAAACATCACATAACTAAATATACTCGCCAATGAAAAATCACATAACTATTAGTTGTCAATGAAAGTCATATGAAAGATAAACTTACTTTGTAATAATTTTCTTCGTGTTCTGGTCAATTTCCCGATGAAGTGAACAAAATACGACAACTAAATTGTCTCTTGGACACATGACTATTAATTGCCAATGTCTCCTGTACGTGTGTGTGGAAACAGAAAAGTCGCATAAAATATATATGTTATCAAAATCAAAATTAAATAACATAAAACACAATTTCATAAAAATTCTTACCCATGAATTAATGGTAGTAAGTGGCACGCTCTGTTTTCATCACGTAACTTTTCTAGCACGTAATTTTTAACATCTTCTTGAGATTTCGCTACATTATCATTATAAATACACCTAGCAGGGTCCATAAATCCATATAATTCTGAAACGGAATTCTCAAGACAAACACGATGAATATACCTGAATAGTTTTAAAATTAACATTAGAATCAAAGTGATGAGAGATATAACATATTAATAGAGATTGACTTTAATAAAACAATAAAATTTACTTACGTGCACCAAATTTGAAGAATAGACACGTCAAGCCAATGACCTAAACCCACCAATAACTCTCTGATACATTTAGCTGAAACATAAAAATTAGAGACACTCGCACAATGACTTAATTGTATTGCCAAATGGTTATCATCCAATTTCAAAACCATGAGTAACAATCTCTGAACATCATCAACTTCCACGTCTTTTGTGCTCTCTTTTGTGCTTCCCTTTGCAGCTGAACAACTTCCTTTTCCGCTTCCATCAATAATTTCCAATTTTTGAATGCATTTAATATCACCTGTGCTTTGTGATAAACCCATAGACTTAAGTGTCTCCATTAATGATTGCTGAAACATCTTACGCTCTTCAACCAACTTTTCTTCAAGTTCAGCTCTAAGTTTTGTTTCCAATATTGCAAGTTGTTCATTTACGTCGATATGTTGACTTTTTCTTCCAAAGTAAGTGCTTTGTTTATGGTGTTTTCCAACACCACGGACACGACCTCCATGCTCAGATGTTCCAATGGCTAATGATAAGATATCGTTACGTCCATCTGGAACAATTGCACATTTTTCAGCTTCTTGAACAAGAGAATCCTACAAAATGCAAAAACATCAATTAATCAATCACAAATATAATTATACTTTGTAATAATTTTTCGTTGTTTACTTACAATTTTTTGGGCAACCTCTTGTGTAGATTTTGATGTGTATTCTCCATTAATGTTGTCTCTAAATAGGATCTTCTCTTTGATAAATAAAGTGACAACCTATCTCAATGTATTTTGGCATCTCAATTCTCAAGGAACATTGTATTCAAGGGTTTATGATAAGTAACTTGATTATCATATATAAGTAGTAGCATACTTATAGTCTCCCTAAATTGAATCTCTTCAAAAAAACTATTTCAACCAAAATAAGTTTGCGAGTCTCTGATTTTTTATTACTAATGACAAATATAGCTCCAATTTTAATTATTTTACTCAATTATTCACCATTCTTATTTGTGTTTTACAAATCATAAATGATTTGAATTATATCTATTAGCTGCCATCCACTATATTGTTTTGGGGATCAGCTGCTCCATGATGATTTCATGTACTCATTCGGGTGACCTTGTATCATGAAGAGTGAGAAACATAATGTGGCTGTAGACATTCAAATTAACAGAAGGAACTGAAATTAAACAAATTGAGGAACCCACTACCAAAATGAAACAAAGATAACTGACGAAAAATGGGTTCTTGGTTCATTATTGGTGTACTAGTCGCTACAATTGCAACCTTACCATCTCCATTGAATCTTTTAACAACATGCTAGCTAGTAGCTACAACAGTCATTTTCTGATACACAATGTATTGATGTTGCCTTGATAACAATATTATCTCACACTATTGACTTTTATGACACAATACCCTGAAGTGAAACTTCTATCGACAGAAGAAACTATCAAGTCAACATCAAAGATGGGGCCCCATTTTGTGGAGCTCCTACAATATATTAGAAACTGGATAACTACTGCCCCAACAACCCCGACATGGGAAATTTCAAATTATCTCTCAAATCATTGCTTGTGGTTTGTACAGGAATCAAGTTTTAAGGAATTTTTTTCCAACATAGACTACCATTAATCTGAGGGTAAAACTATAACTCAATGCACACTCAGCAATTTCCTGATTCTGCGAAAGTAAGCAAAATGAGAAAGAAGAGGTCTATGTCTACCAACATGAAAGATTACATACAATGAAACAATACATCGAGTAACCTTAGAGTAGATATCAACATCTAAAAGAAATTATATAAAATGAAGCAAAATGCATGCTTATAGAAAACCAAAACACATCATAAGAGATCTATATAATAAACTACTAACAAGCTTACTTTCCATATGTTAGTATCAAGATCCACCTCATGCTTGCCAGACATATCAATAGCATCCACACTCAAAACTGCCCACAGAGAACAACAAAAAATACCATTTAGAATCTTCATCATTATAAAGAACAACAAATCCAAAACCAAAAACAATGAGATTAAAAAAATTGTGCTAACCATCACAAGGTAAAGAAGGGAATGTCATATTTATATGAATTGGAAGAGTTTCTCCACGATTCAAGTCCACTGACATCTGCAAAAGATGACAACTTTTGCTAGTATCATTGATATAAAGATCAAATTAAACATAAACCCTTTTATTCACTGCAAAATGAAATACAAAAACAGCAAAATGAAGATTGAAGTAAAAAAAGAATGCAAACCTCGTGAACAGTGTAAATTGTGAGATAATAACCCAGCTCGTGAATAAACAGCGTAGCCATTATAATTAAACCAATTACCGAAACTGCAACCGAATAACAAAAAAAAAAAAAGATATAATAATGAAATGAGAAAAATCTCGAATAGGGGTAAAATGGATCAAGGAAGAAAGAAAAGAGGATTACCGAGAGCACCGGATTGGGTTTTCTGCAATAAATGATCCTCTGCGCGAGGAAATGCGTCGAGGTTTTTGATTACTTGTTTCATTCCCATTTTTCCCAATTTTGGTTTGTGTGATAAATTGAATTGAGGAAGAGAGTGTTGTGTATGATGAATCGGAAAAAGAAAAACGAAATTGGTGGAATTGTGATGAGAATTGAGGCAGCGTAGCACGGAGGACGGTGTGAAGGCTGCCGCGTGCGTGGGGGTATAAGGGCGGCGCGGTGTGAAGGGGCGGCCGGAGGCAGTAGCGGCGAATCGTCGGCGAAGAACGGGTCGTGACAGTCGGCGGAAGCGGGTCGTGACAGTAGGCGGAGGAAAATCGTCGAAAATGGGTCGTGACAGTCGGAAATGGGTCGGCGAAAATGGGAGGGATGAAGCGGCGGTCGGCGAAAATGGGTCTGAAAATGGCTAATGAACAGTTTTTTGGAATAAAAGAAAATTCTGTTTATAAGTTTTTACATCGGTGGAATATTTGACCGATATAAGGGGACGTCTTTTACATCGGTGGAAACTTCCACCGAAATAATAGGTCTTTTTTTTTTTTAAATAATGACTAGGCTTTTACATCGGTGGAAACTTCCACCGATTTAATATGTTTTTTTTTTTTTTTAAAAATAATTCTTAGGCTTTTACATCGGTGGGAACTTCCACCGATTTAATAGGTTTTTTTTTTTTTTAAATTATTCTTAGGCTTTTACATCGGTGGAGTATTTCACCGATTTAATATGTTTTTTTTTTTTTTTTCCACGTTTTTATTAATTTTCAATATAATTTATATATTAATTCAAAGAATCATTTTTTACATCGGTTTGTCTTTAGACCGATGTAATAGCTTTCTTATATTTTTTTTAACTTTTTTGTCACCTTGTTTCTTATTTACAAAAATGCCACCGTGTTTTTTTTCTGGAAATCTTTTACATCGGTGGATGAGATTACCCGATGTAATAGGTGACGAAAAAAATTTTTTCCCTTATTTTTTATATCATTGGAAATAAATACCTGATGTAAAAAGTTTGTTAACTGTATTTTTTACATCACCTATTTTGATACCCGATGTAAAAACCTTTTCTCAAATGTCTTTTTTTTAGTAGTGTAGGTTGGTTGTACACTCTACCATTTGTAGATCTATTGGAAATACGTCTGAGTTTCAAATTGTGGACATTGTCTTGATTAAGTCTTTGTCTTGCCATGAGGAAGCTCTTTGCATGTGTGTTGTGTGTTATGTTTGTACAACATATCTGACAAACTCTGCATGATTTTTGCATCGATTTTGCTTTTGTTTCTACAATGATTAAACTCAGTTAGTATACTTGAACACCTATATAGAAAGGATAATACAATTTTTTTAGCATGATTATAATAAAAATGAGTACCTTAGCCCTTCCATTCTATTATCAATTTCATTTTCTGTGTCATGTATTTAAAGTTGTGCAAACTTCGGAGGTTGGCCTTCAGGTGGCAACAAACTCCTAATTTGATGGCAAGTTTGTCCTTGGATACGTATAGCAGGTGGACTCTGGCCATTGTTGAATTTGTTGTCCAAGTTTTACCGGGTGAAGTAAATGCAAATATCATGTTGTATGTTCTTATTTATGATTGAAAATTCTTACTTTCGGCCGCATTCTGATCAAATAGTAAATGAGATAAAATTCTAGGAGGTTTTTCAAGAAAGATAGTTCCACCTTGCCATTACCACAACATAATTAGTACTTGGGATTTGTGGCATGTTTATGTTTGTTCATTCTCTCTTGATACCATATTAAAGCCCTACAATGCCGACACTCAATCATTGCATCACCCAGATTGTTATAACATGTTCCCAAAAATTCAAAACCTTAGTAATGTGTAATTTCAAATAATGTTTCATCCTTTTACATAGATATTTGTTTGTACCTTGATTTTCTGAATTGGTATGATTAGTAGTTGAAAATGGTGTTGAGTCGTCGTCATTTTCTAAACTTGACTCATCATTCGATATGTGTTGTTTTTTAAAAAATTGGTTAAATATTGTAATGAGTATTTATCAAACAATGAAAGCTAGGTTTGTTTGCTTCTGCATGGTATTCTCTCCGTTTTTAAATGACTGTCGTTTTAGTAAATAAATTTTATTTCAAAATGATTTTCGTTGTCACTTTTCAATGTAGTAATAATTACTATTTTTCCAATTGTAAACGAACCGCGCACAAAATGATATAATGTGGGAATGTCATATTATTATAGCATGATACTTAGAATATATATGCGGATAATGTTTGTAGGGAAAAAAAATTCCTCTGAATCAGCTCATAAAACATGCACAATAGTTGGATAATTGCGCAATAGTTTCTGTTGGCGATTTTGTATCACCAATGTATTTTAGTAGTAATGTGATTTCTAAAGGCCGATGCAATTATGCGTTAAGTTCGGAGACGAGTTAGGGAAGTGCGGAGTGCACGCTCGTCGAGCCAATACATAATTGAATACGAATAATTGAAACGGGGTTCCAAGGGGCGAAGCCCCTGGCGGGGTGCGGGGCAGCGCCCCGCGGGGTCCAAGGGGCGGAAGCCCCTGGTTTGGTGCGGGGCAGCGCCCCGTTGGGGTTCCAAGGGGCGAAGCCCCTGGCGGGGTGCGGGGCAGCGCCCCGTGCAAAAATTTTGAATCCTTTCCCCAACGGACATAACTGTTCCCCAACGGACATAACTGTTTCCCAACGGACATATTCGTTTCGAACAAATGTGTCTCTTCGTTTCAATTACTGTTCTCCTATATAAGGAGTCGTTCGGCCTCGGTCTCGTATACAGAAAAAACGCATCTTTCTCTCTATAATTACAATTCGTTTCTTTTGTCGGAAACAGAATTTCTTCGAGAATTATCCCCACAAAGATTTCGTGAACCCAGACAAGAATAGGGTCGAAATACTTTATTCGGAAAGTGTACGAACACAATTCATCGAAGTTATCCAGGATTATCAGACCCTAAATTTCCAACAGTTTCTGCAAGTCTGTTTCAAGAATACATGCAGGGCCAGCTCAGAACCATGCTAATACTTACCTGCGGGGCATCTTGAAGTGGTATTTTGGATTTAACAGTAGTTTAAAGTAATATGTTGTAGTTGTAAATATATACTTTAAAAGGAATTTTATACAATAGCAGTCACATGAATACCAGTCCCATGAATAGTGTTGTTAAAGCATCTAAACTTAAAATCAATGCTGTCATCACTTTCAAAATCAATGTTTATTGCAGGTGTAAAATTTAGGGCATGTTGGACGTGATATGGATGGCTCAGTCGGCGAATGGAGACCTATAATCGACGGTTGAGTTTCTACATAGTTGTCGTATGAAGTAAGGAGAAGTTAGTTAAGAACAATGAACTGGATTTGGAACAATTTAGAAGAGATTACTTTCACATAATGGCATACCTCGGAAAAGTAGGAGAATTGTGTAAGACGATGTTGGGGGATGGGGTACATTTATATTGGTCATTACGCGGATTATTGTATGGTATATCCGGTAAACAGATAAGTAAGAATTAGTTACTTAACAACAAAGTGTTGTACATGAAGCAATTGTAAGATCGTGTTCAAACTACCATTAGCATACCTTGGACAATTATGTGGTTGGTGTAGTCGGTGGTGGGATGATGTTGGATTGGTCATTTCGTGTAAAGTTGTATGCTCTATCCGAAACTTCAAGAGATTTTTTTGGACAACCTCTGCTTCGTTTTATTGTTAGATTTGCAACATCTTGGTTTAGGTTACTTATGACCATTCCTGTAACAAAGAAAGATTAGTTGCGTGAAGCAACATATTTCCCAAATGGAGTCCCTTAGGTATAAAGAAGAGGTACATTTATGTTGTAAAAGATTATGCACATGTTGAGTGTTTGGGTGTTGGAACAAGAACAATTGGCATTTGATTTTCAACCTGTTTATGTATATCAACATTGGAGAATCTTGAGAAAAGATTTGTTTGCATAATATGCAGATTAAAGATTTCTGGTGGAGTATGGATGATAATGTGAAATTTATTGTATATTCGATTTGATTTACATATATTTTTATATTATTTTTTATTTGTTTTGATTTTGTTATGTCGGTGTTTTTATTCTATTTCAAATATATCTTATCACAAAGCTCACATGCGAAAAAGGACGAGAAATGGCAAAAAAATCAGAGAAAATTGAAAGAATAGAAGAAAAGAATAAAAAAACTAAGTTTTGGACTTGTGGCCCTCGCCACACACATTTCAAAGGTGTGGCCCTCGCCACACACTCCAACATTGTGGCCCTCGCCATAGCTCATTTTACAGTCACATATTTGTTTTCTTGCAGCCTTCTTCACGTCCACCATCTCACCCACTCACCCTATAATTTTCTCAACTTCTCCGACCATGATCTCCATTATCTCCACTACCTCTTACATGATAACTTCCAGCATTTCTCACTATATAAAGGACTTAGCATTCATTGTTTGGGCATCCACGTTTGTGTGCGGAAGCGCTGTTCATAGTTTTAGGCAGAAATCACTTTGTAAAAGTGGTAGTTTCTCACATCGGGAAACTACCACACCATTAGTATTAGGCCTACAATCTTTGTAATGCTTAGATCAAATCTTGCCGCTTTAATAGAAGTTTATTTGAGTTTTAAAGCTTTCATCTTTACAGGTTTCTTTTTATTGCATTATTTATCAATATTGCTCGTCTATAAAATTTAATTACCATGTTGTTTTTAATTGTAGTTGTTATGTTTAATTTGTTTTTAATTAATTTCATGTCTAGCTAAATTGTATAGAGTCCAGTGTGTGAAAATCATCGTTCTCGACGGGACTCGGTAACAATGTTGACTTAAATCTTGATTCGAAAATCATGTTTTGATCTTTGTTTATAAACTTAATTTAATTAGCTTTGTCACGAGAGTGAGAGGTTATTTAACATGATTTTTCTACTGGAGTGGGAAATTAACTAAGGTTCGAGTCGGCACTGCAAGAGCGTGGGGGTCGAACCGGATAGTAGAAACTAGGCATTAATCATAAACAAAGTGAAAGCGCTTTAGGATTAATTAGAAACTGTTTA